TGTGTGTGTGTGTGTGTGTGTGTGTGTGTGTGTGTGTGTGTGTGTGTCCATCCCTCCTTTCTCAGCCGTGCCTCCTCCTCCTCCTCTCGGCTCTCTCCCACGCCAAGGCGGCCGGAGCGAGGGAAGGCCGGCTGGTCAGCCGCGCGTCCGTCTCCTTGGCAAGAGTTTTGAGAAGGCATCCCAGCCAGTGGAAAGCGGCTGAAAGAGATACGCGCGTCTTCACACACACACACGCGCGCACACACACTCCTTTCATTTTCTTTGCAAATCGTGTAGAAAGCAGCAATGAATCTTTCGTGGAAATCTGGCGTCTCCAAGAGGATTTGATTTTGGGTCGTTTATAGTTTATTCAACGGATTCGGCCACTTTGCACGAAACGGGCTCGGTACTTGGGTGGACCGACCCTCCTGATTTCCAGGGTGAGGGGTGGGGGGGGGGGGGGGTGGGGGGGGGGGGGGGGAGGATGGGGGGAAGCGGTCCCGAGACCCCCAGTTTTTCTAGGAAAAAGGGGAAAGGATGAGGGGAGAGGCGAGGTGGAGAAGTGGGGCAGAGAGGGGAAGGGCAAGGGCGCGGGGCTGCAAAGGGATGGAAGGGGAGGGGGAGTGAAGGAGGCGGCGGGGGATTGCCCCCCACCGACTTTCTTCCCTCCCCCCCCCCAGCTCCGGCTACGAATAAGGGCGCAATTGTCCGGCAAGGCAGCGCCAAAGACAAAAGCGCGGCGCGAAGTTGAGTGCGGGTCTCCAGCCCCCAAGAGGGGCGCCTAGAATCGCTCCCCTCCCCCCCATGCCTTCCGAGAAGATAAGGGGTGGGGGGGGACGCCTCCAGGGGGTGGTGGGTGGTCTGGATTTCCCACTACACCCTGCGGGGAGGGGGCTTTCCTTGCGCGTAAAGGTGCCCGCAGACGGCGCACAGGACGGCTGCCCTTCTTCGGAGTGCTTGGGGTGGGGGTGGGGGGCATGCCCGGGGGTGGGGGGGGCTGCAGGGGGCTTGACTCTCGAGCAAGCCTCCCCTCCCTTCGTTCCTCCCCTCCCCCGGGCTAGAGACCCCCTCCAGGGGGCGGGAGGCGCCTTTAGTGCCCTCCGCCCTCCTGGCCCGCTCCGATTAAGCGGCTGGGCTGAGGAGGGGGCGGGATTGGGAGGGGGGGTAGAGTGGGGGGGGGGGCTCCCGGCTCGCTCGCTCTCCCGCCCTTCTCCCCCCAGGCATTGGCGAGGCGGCCTGTCAATCAGGCGCCCGCCTCTCCCCCCCCCCTCCTCCTCCACCCCCCGCACAGCGCCGCGCGCCGGGACTCGGTGTCACCATCCATCCCGCTCCAGACAGACGGTGCCCGGGCGAAGAGCGGGGAACCAGGCGCAGCGCTTTGCGGGATGCTGAGCGAGGAGGCCATGCAGGCGGCGGTGGAGGAGGGCTCCGGCGGGGGGGGCAAGCTCTACAAGCCCCCGCAGCAGCCCCAGCCGCCGCCGCCGCCGCCGCCGCCGCAGCGCAGCCCCTACAGCGCGCTCAAGACCTTCCCCGGGGGGCGTCGGCCGGCGCTCAGCAAGCGCTACGAGCGGCCCACCATGGTGGAGATCCCGCAGGTGCGGGGGGGCGTCGGGCCCTTCCAACCGCAGCCCCTGACCGCCGTCGCCTCCTCTTCCTCGGCTCTGGGGGAGCCTCCCCCGTTGCCCTACCCGGCGCCCGGCCCCTTCCGCGCCTCCCACGGACCCCCGGCACGGAGTTCGGCCCCGCAACTGGGAGCCCAGGCGCCGGCTGCTGCCGCTGCCGCAGCCTCTTCCTCCTCCTCTTCCTCCTCCTCCTCCTCTTCCTCCTCCTCCTCTTCGGCCAGGTACGGCCAACATCACCACCACCACCACCACCATCACCACCAGGGGGCGCCGAGCAGCAGCAGCGGCGGCGGCGGCGGCGGCGGCGAGGGGACTCTGGAGCTGAGCGCAGGTAAGAACTTTGGCTCCGCGGGGGGAGGAAGGGGGGGTGGGGGACAGGGGGGGGGGGGGGGCTTTCCACAGGACAAAAGGCGAGGCCCCTCCTCTCGCTCTCGGATAGCCTGGAGGCGACTGGCTCCTTTCCCCGACCGAGAAAAAGCTGGGGAAAGGCACCTGAGCTTGTGCAGAGGGCATCGGGGCGGTGGCAGAATAAGGCTGGCCGGTCTTGGAAAGTTTCGCCCTCCCAGAATAGCCCCTGGGGATTTCGGGGTGGGGGGGGTGAAGTGGGAGCCCTCTCCCCGCAATTATTCGGGGTAGAGGACACCATCCTATGGTGGCCAGTTGGATCCCCCCCCCCCCCCCCCCCCCCCCCCCCCCCCCCCCCCCTGGGCGCAACCCCAGCGCATTTCCTTTGGAAGTGGGAGGTTGGACTAGAAGACCTCTAAGGTCCCGGCTCTGTTCTGATTGGAATGAAAGGCTTGATTGAGAAGGCCTTCCCTGGGTGAGGTCAGGGTGTGGCTTCAGATTTTTCCTCTGCCCTGGTGGGGAGTGCATTTGCACCTTGGTTAGGGGAGGAGTTTGTGAAGATCCAGGTGGGTTTGTGTACCTTTTCTGTCACATTCAAGCAAGCGATGAAGACCCCTGGGGAGGGAGCTAGAGCAAATCTAGACAGCCTACTCAAAAGCAGAGACATCCCCCTGCCAACAAGAGTGCGTAAAGACTATGTGTCATGCCCCTGGTGGAGACTGACTCTGAGAGAGAGGAGGAACAGCCGACAGGGAGTGGAAGGGTGGCTCCGGGGGTTGTGGAGGAGGCTGGGGAAGGGCAGAGGCCGGGTGGACAGTCAGAGGAGGACCCAGGCCCATCCCCTATCCATCCTAGGGCATGCAGGGAGGAGAGGATAAGGGAGAGACCTGGTCTACTGTGGGGGGGGAGGGCCTTGATCCTCTTCATGGGCTGCAGCTGTGACAACTGAATAAGAGGACAGACATGCGTATGGGCGAGTGCTGGAAACAAAGCATGGAAATATCTCTAGTTTATGGTTCCTCTCTGAGTTTGACGTCCTTCCCAGTGTGTGTTCTGTTATCTGTGGACATCTTCCAGCCCTTATCTTGCCTGGTTTGTGTTTTTTTTTTTTACTCTTTATAATTTAAACGGCATTTCCTCCTTCTGTTAACTGCTCGTGTGGGAGATTTTTGTCCCAGTCAAGGATATTTGGAGCTTGGAAGCAAAGTGAAGAAATAAAAGGGGTTTCACCTGTTTTTTTGTGACTGTTTTTTTTTTGTTTATTTTGTATCCCACCCTGGGTCATCACATCTTGTTTCCAGCCCTTGCCCATACGCACATCCGTCCTCTTATTCAGTTGTCACAACTACAGTCCATGAAGAGGATCAAGGCCCTCTCTTCCCAAGTAGACCATGTCTCTCCCTTATCCTCTCCTCCCTGCATGCCCTAGGATGGATAGAGGATGGGCCTGGGTCCTCCTCTGACTGCCCAGCCGGCCTCTGCCCTTCCCCAGCCTCCTCCACAACCTCGGAGCCACCCTTCCACTCCCTGTCGGCTGTTCCTCCTCTCCCTCAGAGTCAGCCTCCACCAGGGGCATGACATCATGGTTTCCCAAGTTGCAATGTATGGCTGGGAAAGTTGGACCGTAAGGAAGGCTGAGTGCCAAAGAATGGAGGATCTTTGAACTCTGAAGCTGGAGGAGAAGTCTCCTGCGAGTACCTTGTGTTAGGATTCCAGCAGTTACCCCCAATTAAATCCTGAGTCTCGAGCCAAACTTCCAAAACTCTAAAAGGATTTATTGGGAGTGAACATGCCGGCACTGCCTGGGTGCAGCCAACTCTAAGACACATAATTCATTGTTACCTTTGACCCTGGTTTTCCCCACCATCCCCTGGGTGTATATCGTAATTCATATTCTCCAATGGGACACCTCCATAGCCCAGAGTCACCAATCATGCTCTCCAGTTAGAATTTTGCACGGCAGAAACTTCGGTCAACTAGTTACTATTTTTGAAAACATTTATGGAATGCAGTTTTGGATTGCAAGCTGCCGCACTGCTCCCCCCTCCCTTTTCTGTTGGCAATTCTAAAAAAGACCAGAGAAATATTTTATGAGTTGACACCTTGGACTGCAAGGCCATCCAACCGGTCAATCCTAGAGGAGATCAACCCTGACTGCTCTTTAGAAGGCCAGATCCTGAAGATGAAACTCAAAGATTTTGGCCACCTCATGAGAAGGAAGGAAGGACTCGCTGGAGAAGAGCCGAATGCTGGGAACGATGGAGAGCAATAGAAGAAGAAGAAGGGGACGGCAGAGAAGGAGCGGGCTGGATGGAGTCCCTGAAGCAGTCGGCGTGAGCTTAAATGAACTCTAGAAGATGGTAGAGGACAGGAAGGCCTGGAGGATTGTTGTCCATGGGGTCTCAATGGGTCGGACATGACTTCGCAACTCACAACAACGACATGAAGATCACGTGTCTTCCTGAAGATCTTCAGATCTTCTTATGGTATGGGCCTTCTTCTCTTTTTATCCCTTCCCGTTGACATAGAGCAGGGCTTGTCAACCTCAGCAACTTCAAGATCCACGGACTTCAAACTACCAGGATTCCCTCGGCCAGCATGCATCCATTGGCTGACATCAATTGTCTAAGCCATATTAGCCTTGCTCTCTCTCCTCCCTTTAGGAGATCCAAGTTTCTACACTCAACTGGGAAGATCTTAGTTCGTAGGAGGTAGCCATCCATGGCTTGGGCAGTTGCTCCTTCTTGGAAAAAGGCAGCTGTATAAAAATCCTTAGCCATCCATGAATCAAAGAGTTTGCATGTCTACATAATATCTCTAGCATTGACTTTGGGTCAAGAAGCTGAGCTTTCTTCCTAAACAGCAGCTTCCTTCTCCATTTTCCCCCGCCCTGCTGCAATAAAAATTCTTTGTGGAAGTAGATTGGGCATAAATCGATGGAAATTCTCAGTCCTCCAGGCCATGGTTGTCCCAAAGGTGTTTTTTCAAGAGGCAACTGGACTTTGTTGGTTTCCTTTGAAGACATTTTGCTTCTCCTCCAAGAAGCTTCTTCAGCTCTGACTGGATGGTGGGGGAATGGAAGGATTTATACTCCTTGCAGACAGCTGGTCATTTGCGTCCTCTTAGAGGGTCATCGAGGCCACTTGGAGGTTTGTCTGGGGAATGGATGGTGGGGAATGGAAAGGTTTATACTCTTTGGTCATTTGCATCCTTTTAGAAAGCCAATCGAGGCCACTTGGAGGTTTATATCTTTCTTGGATTTTGAATGGAGCCTCACCTCACAGTGTCCTTGGGGGTCACCTAAGTAGTGCAAATGGGTGTGGAGCCTCCTTGGAACTGCTGAAAGGAGCTGTGTTGTAGAGTGCAGATAGATAATGTTGTATCCTTTCCCCGTCTGTTCAATTTGGACAAAGATGGCCTCTTTGACAGCTGGTTTGAAAGAGGGGTCAAAGAGGCCCATCTATGTCAAAATTGAGCAGCCCTCACTCCACAGACGGGGAAAGGATACAACATCATTTATCTCCATTTTACAACACAGCTCCTTTCAGCACACCCATTTCCACACCCATTTGCACCACTCAGGGAACTCTGAGGACACTGATATAAACCTCCAAGTGGCCTCAACGGCCCTCTAAAAGGATGCAAATGACCAGCTGTCTGCAAGGAATATAAATCCTTCCATTCCCCGCCATCCAGTCGGAGCTGAAGAAGCTTCTGGGATTAAAAATGAAACGTCTCGGATGAGAAGTGAAACATCTTCAAAGAAAGCCAAGAAAGTCCAGTTGCCTCTTGAAAAAGCATCCTTGATTCGATTGGGCGAGGACAAAATGGCAGGTAGAAAATTCTTCAGTGAGCTTTCGTGACTGAGGGATAACTTGAACCCGGATCTGATCCAGCTCTGAAGGAATTGCACTACAGTGTCGAGCATAACCCCAGCGTCCCTTAGGTAGAGATGGAGCGGCCGTAGACAGGTGCTCACTTCAGTTAGAGTTAGCTTCGGTTCTTCACTGGAGGAATCTTATCAAGGTACCCACTAGATGGCAGCAAAGTATTGGGGGAGGGATGGGTTTATCCTTTTTGCTACCATCTAGTGGTCAACTGAGGCTTTGCAGCTCAGAGACAGTGTGTGCCTAATTTTGCTCTTTGTTGGACTCTCTACACTTGGAGATCCAGATGTAGCCTCTGGTGGGTCACCATTTTCAGACTTGCCTACAAGAGAGGAGGAAGATTTGGAGAGAAATATCGGCCGTGGGAAAAGGTTTTTAACGTAGGTCCAATCTGGAGATTGAAAAATTCTTCAGGCAGTCCCATGAAGTTGACCTCCGCTCTTGGTTTTTCGTGCTCAGGCACGCCTGGTCTCTGTGCAAGCATTGTGAGAAAACCCTTTGAAGGCAGGAGATAGTAAGACACACGAGATGAATCCAAGCTTGGGCTCTGTCTTTTCACTATGTCCACTGACAAGCACACTACCCATATGGTCCGATTGTGTACTTGGGGTGTTGCCTGGTTGATGTCATTGGTGTCAGCTGTGGCACCATCTTGTCCTTTGTCCCAGAGCTGCTTTCCCTGGGGAGGTTTAGAAGACTTCTTGCGGATGTTCTTGAACTTTCTAAACAGCTGCCCTTCCTTCTCCTCTAAGCCCATCACAACTCACCAGTGGCAGCCATCTCACGCCATTCGTGTGAGGGGTTAACATTTGAGATCTACCCCTTCTGAGAAAACCAAGGCTATCCCTGATTCCCAGAAGAGAAAGCCAACTGAAGTGGAGAACCATGTGAAGTGGGCTAGATGTTCCCAAATATTACTGCCACTGTATAACCCTGAAAATAAGACCTTGTCTTATATCTTTTTTGCCACCAAAAAAGGCACCAGGTCTTATTTTCAGGGGATGTCATCCACTGACTAACCTCACTTGCATGCCTCGTCCTTGGCCTCCTTTTCACTGTCAGAGGCCTTCAGGAACTTCTTCTGTGGCCGGCAAGGCTT